GAATATGCTCATTTGCTTTGCCAGAAGTTAGATGAGGAGAGTAATACCACTCATGTTTGTACCCAAAATATGAAACTACAGCCAGAAGTCTGATAGCTTAGCTTAGCACAAAGACTGAAAATAGCAAGTCTAGCTCTGTCTGCAGTAAACAAAATCCACCTATCAGCATCTCTAAAGCTCACATTTTAAAAAGTTATATCTTGTTTGTTTAGTCCATCCAAAATCCGAAGGGTAAAATTGGCACATGCCCCTGTTTGCAGTCTTTGTAGGAAAGCTTACTGCTGGCGGTAGCTTCATATTTAGCATAAAGACAACAGCTGAACTTAATTTTCACATCTGAATCTTGGCAAGAAAGCAGATGAGCATATTTCCACTCAATAGGCATCCCTCTAAAGTTACAGTAGTACAAATACACATCATCTCTCTGTGTCTGTGTGCAGCTGAATTTGAAGGCGACTACTACGAGCTTTCCCAGCTTGGTGAAGGTGGATTTGGAGCCGTTTATGAGGGCTACAGAAAAAATGACATGGCACCAGTAAGTCTTACACATTATCCTTCTCTTTATCTCTCTCTCTCTCTCTCTCTCTCTCTCTCTCTCTCTCTCTCTCTCTCTTGCAAAAACAAATGTTTTTTAAGTGTATTCTTGGAAAGTGCCAAACACTTGTGTTTCCGTCTTTCAGGTGGCCATCAAACACATAAGGAAAGAAAAGGTCCTTTACAAGGAAGTGGTAAGTGATTCAATCTGGTGTCCTAAGCACTATCATCTGAAACATGTTTGTACTTCAAGTGCTGTTGGTCAGACCACGCAAAATGATAGAATGATAAATGTTGGTATATTTTCATTTCTATGTTTTCTGTATTTGCTTTAGGTCCAGAACGGAGAGGTGTTTCAAGTCATTGAAGAAGTCGCCCTCATGGTGAAAGCAGCAGGTGGAGCTGATTCACCTGGGAAAACTGCAGTCATCTCCCTTCTTGACTGTTTTGATCTGGAGGAGGAGCTAATCCTGGTTGTGGAAAGACCAGTCCCCTCCATGGATCTCCACAAGTACCGCAGGGCCAAGGGAGGCTACCTGCAAGAACACGAGGCTAAGGTACTGAAGCTAGGTGAAGGATGAAGAGTTAGGCTGCAGTCCCTTTATTATTTATTATTGCCATAATTTACATTGTGTAG